ATGTTGTGTTACAGTGACTAGTGTGCAGACCATTCCCACATGCAGAACCCATTTCTCTGGCTGTCTCACCATGTAATTTGTCTTTTGACAACGTGCAGTGAAGTGACATAACACCAGAGTAATCAGGGATACTTTGTCTAGAAGGGGAAACACAAAGGCATGCCTCAGATTCCTTTTCTAAGCTCCTGGAAGTAAAACAGAAAATGTTAACTCAATAATAGGAGCAAAGCATTGTTAATTCATCAAGACTTTGTTTTTGAACCTCTCCGGACCAAGGTTTCCAACTGTTACCCAAGGCATGAGCTGTTGACACGCCAGTTAGGCTTCTATTCTCAAATTTGTTTTTTATAGTCCATGTCTGCAGCTGCCCCTCGGCTTCAAACGGAGAGAATCAGGCTGTTGTTGGGGCTAGGCTTTATCATCGCTGCTGGACACTTTTTTTCCACTGCTGTAACGGAAAAGGAGATAACCATTTGTCACCAAGAGTTATTTTATTTCTATTAATTAAGATTCTTTATACAACATGTTGGAAAACATGGATTGTGGTTGGAAAAAAAAAGGACAAGGATCACTTATTAAGCTGACAGTTTGTTATTTTTGCGTTTTTAAATAGAGGCCACACAATAGATTATTTAACATTACACAGATAATGAACTGAAAAGACACAAATTACCTAATACAGACTTGAAAGGCTAATCTCTTTGCATCATAATGTTAAACATCTGTATCTAGATGCTGGAACCTCTGATGGCCTATGTCTTCATCTGAACTCCTGTAGATGGAGCAGATCCTGTCACACATCTGGCTCTCTGAGCTGATGAGAAGTGCAGCTATGTGTTTCTGCAACTTTCCAGGCCAGGGCAAAGTTTGTTTAATTTGCTTGGCAAGGACAAACCTGTGTCCAGGCAGTATGAAGCATTTTTCTTTATGTTGCAACTCCATTTCTTCTGCTCTCTGATTATGACTGACAGGCCTTTCCTCAGGCTGGACTGATGTAGCAGAGCTGAGTTTGTTTGGAAATCATGCACAGATGCAGAAATACGGCTTTTGTTTGTTTTATAAGTCACCAGATACAGCAATATCCAGTGATCAGAGTTCTTTCTCGCCAAGCTACATTTTAACTTCAGAACATTTTGTGGAACTATCTGATGAAGCTACTTATAGAGAATTACCCATGTTCACATGTTAGTTAAATAATCTCTCTCTACAATACAACAGATACAATGTTGTTAATTTTCCATTAGCCAGCGTAATGTGAAAATTAGGGGGATCAGTCAACCATAAGACATTCTGCGTTCTAATCTTTATTTAAAATCAAGTCCCATACAGTCCATTACATTTGCTAAATAATAGAAATGTTTAATGAAGAACATCTGGAGCATCAGGAGTCTCATGTTCAGTGTATGGCCCTGCTGGAGGCTATCGATAAACTCACCCCACTCTCAGAGCTGATTGTAAATGCCGATATACAGTATATGTTCTTCTTATATAATGTTATGACTTTCAGAAGAAAAACACATTTATTTCTTGCTGCCTAAATGAGGCTTTTATTGTCCTAAACCCTTTTGGGACAATCAAATCTTGAACTAACTGCCTGAGCATTTGCAGCACAACCAAAAAAAAAAAAAAACATCATGAGAATAAGCTCATTAGGGTTACTAAGCATCACAGTACAAATGAACATCTGCCTCATGTTTGAATCTTTGTCTTTACTTTTTCCAGTGCCATGAATATCATCACTCACATTTTCCAACAGGAAGCCGCTCACTGATAAAAGCCTACTGTCTCTCCAGAAACAGAACCATTTTGGTAACAAATAGCTGCTATTGAACTAAGAATAGTTTCACTTTTCCATTGATCTGTGATGCTTGTGAGCTATTTCAAATTTGACATTTTACTGTTTTGTTATTGCAGCACAAAATCAGACTGACAAGTCTCTTTTAATAGATTTTGGATTCCTTGTCTTTGAATAATCCTGCCTGCATTTAATGTGAAGGGTATGAAAACTGATCATTAGTGGCCCTTAAGCAACGAATATCTGCACTTTTTTAAAAAAGTTTATGAGACTCGATTCAAAACAGATGCCTCTATATAACTAACAAAAAGAAACACGAACATCTACAAAGAGTTTAACAATTTCTGTGGTTATTTTTAATACCCACACTGCTAGTGATACACAGCTTGAAGATATAAAGAGTCCTACATACATGCCTTAACGTTTTCAGTGACAGTTTAAAGTAGGCACAAAGATTTGTTCATTTCGAAATGCTACACAGACATCGACTGGACAAGATGCAGAAAAGGAAAGACGTTCACAGGGCTGCAAAATGGACCCAAAAGGAGAGTTCAAGACAGATCTTTTATAAGATCTAAGATCGGTAATAAGATCGGTAATAAGATCGGTAATAAGATCGGTATAAGATCAGCTGGTAGAGAAGGAACACCCATGTACAGAGGCTACAGACCCCATCGCAGGTCATACCCAACTTTTTTCCCCTGTTTTTCCTGTCTCACTTCAGCTGTTATATCTGGTAAAAGCAGAAACGATCTTCAGAATTTTTTTAAAAGTGCATACATATTTTAATTAAAATCAGAGGTTTTAAGAGCTGTCGATGATTCCTCCCAAAGTACTTTTCTGATCAAATGATATTGTAACATCCACATTAACAGGCATCTGCTCTCATCCATTCAACATGTACAGAATACCTGGTCTCATTTTGTCAAAGTACATCAACATAATTATCATCAACACTACAATATGACAAATACTTAATAACTTACACCACAGAGAACCTCGGTTTTTAACCTCCACCTTCTTTAAGGAGATGTGGTGGAAAGAGCGTCAGTAGCTCAGACTTTGGGTTGGGAACCTGAGGAGTCGCTGGTTCAGGTCCCAGTACCAAGTTTTGAATTGGAGGTGGTAGGACACTTCCTGAGCACTGTGGAGGTGACCTTAAACGAGGCATTAAACCCCCAAGTGCACCAGTCCCTATGCAGCCCCCTCACTCTGACAGCTTTCCATAAACAGTACACGTCTATAGGTCCTGTCTGGGCTCATTTGTGGCCTATATGTGTGAGCAGCATGTCTCACAATAACAAAGTGAAAAGTTATAATTTCGCCTTTGGGATTAATAAAGTATATCAAATAAGATAAAAATTGGAATAAAAAAAGTGATCGGATTTGACAGAGCCAACCGGATCTATTAAAGAAGCCCTCCATGATATCCAGGGTCATGTAGAATAAAAAAGTGCATTTTGTGTTTGAATGATTGTGTAAGTAACAAATAAATTTAACTGAGGTATGATCAGTGGTAAATGATTGAAACCTCTGCAGAATTAATGCAAAGATCCCCTCAAAACAATGACCGAGATCATCATGGTAGCTGTTTTGTAGGACCTTACATGCCGTAAAACTTCAAATAATCTCAATTTAAGGCCCCATCCCTTTTACTAGCCTGGTGTTGATGCACATTTTAAAACAATAAAAAAAACAAATAAAAGCAGGTCTCAATCATTTGTCTTTAGTGGTGAAACAGTTTGCTGATCATAAGTAAGGAGTAAAAGTAACAAGACACACAACAAAATAAAATTTGATCTTCAACATGTGTCCAAAAGAAACAGAATGATGCTTGTGTGAGTACAGTCCGTGAAGCAAGTTTGAAAACTGTCTTCCAAAGCAACTTTGAAATAGTGCTTTGTCTGAACCATTATTAGAAGTTTACAGTATCTGTTTTTAAACACATAACACATAAACACTTCACATCATCATCTACAAATTGGAAGTTTTAAATACTGCATTAGCAAAAAATTAGAGGCTTCTCTCTAAACTCATCCAATGCTTTGACTTTAATCCACAAAGATAAGAAAAAGTGCAGCATCATTAATTTGTTTTTTTTCTTCCCATACAGACGTGTCGCCTTTAGTGGGTCAGTGAAGTAGGACAGTCTCTCCAAAAAGAGGACGACAGGGGGATAAATTTGGTGCACCTCCATTTTCACATTTAATTGAAGTCATTATGTGCACTTCACTTCTCTTGTCATGCTTTGTTTGTCTTCATTCTGGTGTCACCCTTCTGAGGTGATGCATCGCAAACAGCTGTAATTTATCCCACTGCTCTGTTTAGAGTTTGCATGAAATCGTAATTGTTACAAAGGGGGAGAGGGCGAGAGACTAGGGGGTGTTGGGGGGATGGGGGGGGGCATCTTGGACATCTCCTGATTGACCCTTGTTCACCCCTTCTCTCTCACTCACTGGATGAGTCCTCTTCTAAACATGTGTGCAGCTGTCAGCTGGCAAGTGTGTGTGTGTGTGTGTGTGTGTGTGTGTGTGTGTGTGTGTGTGTGTGTGTGTGTGAGTATGTGTGTGTGTTGTGCATTTGGCAAAGATCATTTTTCATGTTTCATTTTTGTTTTCACTGTTGCAAATAACTATCTTAACTAAATGAGAATACAGAGAAACTGAAAGTGTTTCCTCCAATCGTCAATAGAATGAAATAACTTTATTTAAAAAGTGGCATCAGGTATTCAATTTAAAAAAAAGTACTGCAAATGTTAAGAGCTCTTTTTGATATTGGCATTACGACAAACTAGTTATTTTCTTGTCAAAATCTTTGCGGTCGTTCTTGTGTACCGGCTGCAGTTAATTGAGATTTTGTGCTTGCAGATTCTCTTCCTAAGCTGGTAGATGTTTGCTAAATAATGCTTCAGGTGTTTTTATAGCATGAAAACCAGAGTGAAATTCAGCCTGTTTATTAGTCAGATGCAGAGTTTATAAGGTCTCTAGTGACAACATCTGTTGGTCACATGAGAGAGCTTGTTGGCTCAATCCAACTAGATGTTGATGATTGGCTCCTTTGTTGTCTTTCCCTCCTTCTTTGTCTCTCTGTTTCTCCCCAAACACCATAACCCACTCCTAAACAAGCTGTGCAAATGAAATCATAATTACAGTTTATGTCTAAAGGGGTTAATAACACTGAGTTTTTCTCTGCCTCTCTTTTTCAGTTGCGGCTCCAAAGTTAAAACCGATGAAGAATCCAATAATAGTGGATGAGGGGAGCAAGCTCATAGTGAAGTGCGAGGCCACAGGGAACCCTCTCCCCACCTACACGTGGTTCAAAGATGGCAACGAGCTGAAGAAAAGCAGAAAAGTCAAAATAAGGAACAGCCAGTGAGTACAAGTCAACCATGTCCTGTAAACCTGTAACACTCACAGCGTAAGATGAAAAGAGAAGGAGGCACTCTGAAGTCAGAGCAAGGTGGCTATTATTAGCAGACTGTGCTAACGCAGTTTTTCTGTCAAATCTAAATCATGAGGTTGAAATTGAATGAAAACATGAATTCTAGGCCTGAACTCACATTCACACCTTTCGTGCTAAGAATTAACAAATGCCCTCAGAAGGAATGTTTATTTGTAACTGGATCCACCTTTTCCTTGGAATCGTACTCTAATCCAGAAAGAACGTGACTGAACACTTTTTCGGAATGATGAGTAAAGTTGCCAAGAATTCGGTATTAACAAATGCCATCTGAATGGTACAATGTCATGTATGATATATGGAACAAATAATTTTCCCACTGGAGCTTCAGACAAATAAATTTGAGGAAACCTGGGAATAGTGCGAGTCATATATATCTCCTGAACGCCCTTCTATTGTTCCAATGTGTTTAAGTTACCAGTACATATTCATGTATCTCTGTTGAATAGAAAGGCAGCCCATGTTCTTTTTAATTTCTTGGTTTATTTTTGTTTATTACAATACTGTAAAAACGCTAAAGAGGGATCGCTGTGAATGTTATTCAGCCAATTTTTGATTTTGAAGACTTTATTGTTACTGAAATGTATCGTAAAGATTTATATTAAACCAAGTATGTATATATATTCTACATTTATGCCAGTGGCACTTGCTCATTAAAGTAAGCAGCTACATTTAGAGGCAGTCAAGCAGATCCACGCTTCGTTTTTTTACTACAGTCTTTTCTGGACATTGATGCTTAGTTTCTAGATGGTTTTCTCATATTGGGCTACTGTTTAGGATGTCAAAAACATCATTGTACCTTACAAAATCATTGTGTCTTGTTTTATCCGGTTATGTGCATGCATTATAAGAACATGGGTGCATTCTAAGACTTAGTTTGATAAAAACTGCTCAGATGCACAGCATTCTTCTCCTGGTTTAAACTTCTATGTCTATGCCTCATTCGCCCAGTTATTGTCACTCATTAGACTTGACTCTCTAAAGACACCACACACTTAATATAATTGTAAGTTCACAAGAGTTAAAGTTGAACTTGTTTGAACTCTCTTAGTTACATTGGCTTATAATGACGAAATTAAAGCAACTGACTAAAGCAAGGATTTGAACAATGTTGGTTGTTGGGTAATTTGAGGAGAAAAGTAGACATTGTAGTTGTAAAACCTACTGATGAAGGATATTGGCACAAGATGGGGCTTTAAAATTAATACCTTAATGAAACAGTATGTTTAGTAGCTGCTGGTCCTGTGCTTTTCTTTTGGTAAGCGGTTTTTCCTTCTCAAATTTGGCCTCAGGTTTAGTGATTGTGTATCCGTATCAAAGCACAGAGACGTTGCCATGCTGCTACTCGCCCTGTTGACTGCCTCTATGTCCCCCATGTTTCCACTTGTTGCGTTTCCATGCTATTTCCTCCCTGCCCTCATTCCCCTGACTCAGCTGTGCAAGTGTTGTCTCCCACAGGAAAAACTCCAGACTCCAGATCAGCAGAGCAAAACTGGAGGATTCTGGGAATTACACATGTGTGGTGGAGAACCACCTGGGAAGAGACAACTCCACCGGCACTGTAAACGTCCAAAGCTGTGAGTACCAACCCCTGAGCAACAAGTGAAGTGGCACACAGATGCACATTGTTGTGTTTGATATGATTATTATTTTGCCAAATAAGTGATCAAAAGGAGCTTTCCCAAACAGACATGTAACTATAGTAACATGCATGAAAAACTACCGTCCCCACGTGTGGACGCAGCCCATGACTCAGCAAAACAGTACAATGTGCTCTACAGAGACTTTAACTGTATGCTGATATCTTACAGCTTTCATTCATTTCAGTTTGTTTGCAATGTAAAGTCCCACAAAACTACAATGCACATCATCTTTGACCGCCACTATAGAGCATAAAATGTACAACACAGCTCGACAGAATGTAGAAGTTTAAGAAAAAAGCATCTTCAGAGTGTGTGATAGAATCTAACAGGCCCATTCAGTTGTGGTGTGCGAGCGTTGCTGAGTTTTGCAAAGTACTGTGGTAGATGAAAGAGTTTTGATAGCAGCTGCTTCCATTTGTTGGGGTGGTGAGTTTGTGTTTGTTCCAAAAGCAGTGCGGGTAGTGAGTGTATGTCTGCTGTGGGTAGCTTATTGTCTGACTGAGAGGATGGAGCCAGTATAAAATACTATGAGGAGCTCTTAGTGCAGATACAATCTGTGTAGCTTTGTGTAGATCGAGGAAGGGCCTGGTGTTATCCAGATCTTGACTGTCAGGGAGAAACATGGCAGGTTGTCTGACACACGTTAGTCTGGAAAGCGTTTGATGCATGACTTTTCTGAGGTCTCCTGGATGTTTAATCTGCAAAATGTCTCAAGTTTTTTTTTTACTGTAGAGATGAGGGTCTGTGATGTTGAAAAGTGTCCCCTCAGATTTAAAAAAAAAAAAAATCAAATCCTATGTGCATGCATTTGGATACTTTTGTATATTCACTTCATTTTCAGTGATTTTGAAAAATCAGGGATTCAGAAATATTATGGGGCCTGAGAGGGGTCCTTGTGGCACTCCACAGAGGAGATCCTCTCATGGTCATGCTGACCTTGAAACAAAGGGCATAACTCTCATCCCTCTCCGTCATGAAAGGTAAATTTGGTAATGAAAAGGGAGGGACTGGAGTTTGGGCATCACTCAGTGTCCTTGTATTCACTTTCAGGCTCTTTAATCACTCCCCCCTTCCCTCTCTTTATATTTGTCAAAGCCACCTTTTAGTGCCATTGTTTACCGTTCACAGACTTAAGCTGAGCTGCATTATTAGAGTAGCAGCTCTTTTCATATAGAGAAAGGACCCATTGTGTTTGAAAACATAGAGATTCTCAGCAGTTCCAACATGCAAGTTTGATCTCCAGGAAACAATAGTGCAGAAAAGAAGTCATCCATCTTGTATTTAAATGGGGCCGCATATTGCCTCTTTTTTTATTCCCTGACATCTAAAAAGCTTCAGTGGAGTTTTATAGCCAGATCGTGTGACTTATACTGTACGCTTGTTATGACACTTGGCTTTAGTCCCATGCAGTGATATATTTCTTTTCACTCATGAGCATGCAATATTTAAAGGGTCATTGACGTAAGAATCCAACCCTAGACATACAGAGCCAACATTTATGAAAAATTAATCTGTTAAACAGTAATTACAGAGTAATGATCATGTTGATGGCAATTAAATGAAATGGGTTGAATCATGCTCTGCACCCCGCAAAGGCCGGGGAATCCCTAGTGGTAGCACCTGTTTGTGTTTAATAAAGGCTTATGAACATGCGACTGGTGGCCCATGAAACTCTATATGATGAACTTAGCAGGCAAAAGAGCTTGTAATGCAACAGAATCAAAGGAAATATAAAGTTACAAAGCATTGAACAGTTCAGTAGCCACAATGGATAAAACATGACGAAGCAATGATATGGCAGACAGTGTTTTCACTGATTGAATCCAAAGTTTAAAACATGATATCCCTACATCTGTTGCAAAATATGCATTGTGTACTTTTATGCCTACTGCATTCAATCTCACACACATTTTTGTGTCTGTTCCTTGCATGGCTATCTGTCAGCACTGTCATCTCCTCAACTCACTCCTGGATGCTCAAACAATGGCATCACTGTACGTCCTATCATGCGCTGTGATCCTGAGATGTCTGTCTGTCTCCGTAGGTTTTTGTATTTGTGTATGTGCAAACATGTTTGTTCACCGTTCAATAAAAAAAAAAAAAAAAAAAAATCCCATTGTGTTACAAGAGCACGCCTAGTTCCGTCATGCTTCAGGGGAGAAGGCAAGACGGGGCGAACCAGAGGTGGTATGTCCATAAACAACGGGAAAGAGGAGGGCTTCACTCAAAAACTACACACGTCAACAAAAGGAAATGCCAGCAAACATTTCATGGTGCTGTCATTATCATGCCTGTGAAAAGCTGAAATCAGCAGATATTTTGAGAAAAATACACATTGTGTTTGCAGCAATGATGGGGTGCCTCTGTCGAGGAAACAAGTTGCAGTTAAAGCATCATTTTGAAGAAAAAGAGCTTGATTTTATGTAATTAATTAGACAAAGAGCTGCTTTTCCTCCTAAGGTCATGAGAGAAATTCTATTGTGTTAAAGGGCTGCAGTGGAGTAAGCCTGCCTGCCTGCTGCAGTATGTTGCCAAAGCAGCATGTAGCCGCAGTATTATCTGTGTATGTGTGTGTGCCTTCTAGGGAGGGAGAGCAAGAGGAGGGGTGCAGATGTAGACGGACAGAGGGAGCAAAAAAGAAGAAGAAGAAGAAGAAGAAGAGAGCGTGAATAAAGGAGGGGGGTGAACACAAAATGAGGGAATGCATGACAGGAAGCAGACAAAGACATTAGGGGATAGACAGTGAGAAGGGGGTATAGAGGAAAAGAGAGGCAGACAGTGAGAGGGGAAGAAAAGTATGAAGAGGAGGAAGACAAGAGCCCGCTGTGTTGCAGAGGAGACTTTCACACCCATTTTGGATGCAGTTGCCAAAGCCTTGCCCTCCCTACTGTATCTGATGTAGTCAGGTGCTAAACCAAGCATGGCTTTTTCACCTGTGTTGCAGCGCTGACAGCTTGTATGCTAAAACTACTTCAGCCTGCTTGTCAACAGGAGAAAAATGGCAGAAATAAGGAATACCATCAATAGAAGCTTCTTGCACAGACGGACATTGAAAGCTAGATATTGTAGATGATTTAGTTAAACACAGGAGCATCATTCCAGCCGTCACATCGACAGGGAGGACTTAGCACATGGCTGTGCCTATAAATGCCTGCCGTCTGCACTGGTGGAGGCAGACTTTGGGAAAACCATCACTCAGCTCCACCACATGGTGAACACAGGCCACCACAAGCTCAGCAGCTTACACACACTCCTGCACTGTACCAGGCACCGATTTCTTTTTCTTTTTTCTTTTTTTTAGCTCATGTTGTGTTTGTGTTGGATGGAAAGTGAAAGTAGCTCTTGATTGCTATTACTTTTTATACTTTAGTTTTTTTTCTTCTCAAATTAGGCCATGCTGGATCTTTTATTGCTTGCTATTTTTTTCCAGAGTAAAGGGCATGGAGGGTTTAATAGTAGTTTGCTTGTTAAGTTTCACCTGTTTCAAAGACATTCAATCATTTTATCAGCAAGTTTGAACATAGGTGCCTTGCGTTGATTTGCATAGCATCAATTACACAAGGAGCGCTGCACTCATAGCCCTGAGGTGTGATGATTTATGTGATGCTCGAACATTCCTTGAATAAAAACCGAAAGCTCCAGTTAATGTAAAGGAGTGTGCAGATATGGAGGAATCACCGCCATATTTCCATGAAAGCCAAATAAGAATAATCTTTATGATCTATACTAGACATAGCAGCTGGTCATTACTCAGCCCATATCAATATTTGTGTAGCAAGACAAATGTGACACCCCTGTAACTCTGAAGCATGGTGTGCAAGTCGCCCAGGGCGGTAAAAAATAACCAGTGCAACTCAACTCAAAGTGAATCCCTCATGCATCCTAAAGCACGCAGTACACTGTGGCTTCATGCCAGCCTTGCAGTTTGCCAATAACAGTGAAGGATTGGCCCTGTGTGTGGGGGGATTTTACTCATGTCTCTTTGTTTGACCAGTGGAAGAGAAACGCACACTGTCAGCTGATTGAGTGCCAGTTTACTGTATAATTATTCAGCACAGATGGTTGGAGGTTCTGCTGAGTTGAATGTTTAAGTTGCTTGCTATCAATGTTTCAGCCTTAAGACTCATTTAATTCTCTTCTCTTCTCTCTCTGGCTGCGTTTGGAGGTTTGAAACCTGCGATCAATCAGTGGAGAAATTTTCTTTTCCTAAACCCACTAGACCTTTTTCTGCGTGTTTTATTGTTTGTGTTTTGCCAGCTTCGGCATTGTGACAGAATGTGATGGGAAAAAAAAGGGATACAGTGTGTGTATGAGAGTGTGTGTGTGTGTGTCCTAGTGGTGTGGAATATCTAATGTCCTGTTTTCTGTTACAATCACTGCCTCTTCCAAAGTGATGTTTTCAGCCTTATGCCCAACCCCCAGTGTAGACGATGCAGGGACCATTTGTTGTCCATTTGGTCTGACCTCTCCCCTGTAATCAGTCTGGCATGGTAAGACCTGCTGGCCTTCTGCAGAGCGGTGTAGTATATCATCCACTGTTTTCTATAGGCCAGTGTGAAGGAGCAACACCAGTCAAAGTTTGCTGGGCTCCACGTGGCTTCAGATTAAGGCCTCCCATTATCCTGCAGGCTGCTGTGTTGTGATAAGCGCTGGCGAGCAGCCATGTGTCTGCAGGCTGCAGGTCACATCCTCAGGGGGTGCTGCGTGTAGCTCCGCTGAGAGAGTGTGTGAGCGTCCAGGAATGTGTTGATGGAAATCACAGCTGAACATATGATTGCTCCAACCTCAGCAGTCATGCTGGGGCCCACCAGCAACAATTTCGCGCATGCATGCATGCAAGCAGGCCGGCCGGCCCACACGCATACACACACACACACGCATACACACACACGCGTACATATGCGCCACCTTTACATGTTTTTTGCTCCCCACCC